GAAATGATCAGCACCCCAGGAAATGTATAAAGAACAGTGTGGAGAATATGCATATTGATGCTCGGGTATGAGGGGTTAATGTGATGAAAAAAACAGAAACGACAATACGACAGATATCGTTAACAGAGATTTAATCAACGGTATAAATATGGGAAATGAATTCCGAGAATTTTCCACTGACCGATTCATAAAGACTGGCCGTTTGACAGAGGTCCGCTCAAAGGAGGTTTGATCGTACAACACCAACTTATTACGAGTAGCCAACAGTCAAATAGTAAGGAGACCTCAGCTGAGATCAAAAGAGATGAAACGAAGTCACGAAGACAGGAACGTTCAATGACAAGACGTGAATTCCTTTGATAAAACCGGTCGTTGATTAATTTATAAGTGTTTTCACTGATTAATGAAACGCGCAATAAGGACAGATCAAGCCGGAAGTGCGTCACAATACATAATAAGAGGATATAAATTTTTTCACTGAGTGCACTTTAATGAAACAAAAACCAGGAGAGCGGATGTAAATTCCATGACCCAGTTTAATCTTCCTGTTTATCATAACAGAAGCAGTGTTACTGCGAGAGAACTTTTATTCCATAAACTATATTGTCACACCAAGAACATGACGATGACTGTTTTGGTACTTGCTGTTGTTTATTAAGTGCACGAGTTTCTGTCTTTTATTGGTTTCCCAATGATTGATGAGAGTATCTGACTAATTGTAAATAGGGACATGATGATGTAATGCTCTGCAGCACTTGAAATATTAACTGGAAAAACGCAACATCATGACATATTTAGCGATAGAAGCCTATTACCAAGGGTGAAATAAGGTGGCGGAGAGTTATTTAAAATCCTAACACATCATGATAAGGCCGGAAGTTGAAAAATTTTGAGTATTTTGGGTTTCGGAGGTTATTACCACTTGGTGTAACAAAGAATATCAAGAGTGCGAAACATTCCGAAATTTGCAAACAATGCCTCAGCATAGTCAGCTAACAGATACTAAAGCACTAAAAATAGTTGGATAAACAGAAAGCTCTTCAACTATTCTTCCATCAGGAACAGAGATATACAGAGAAACATGAGTGATGCGTCAACTCTCCCACCCGAGTTTTACAACGCCTTTGGAATCGATTCGGCTTCGTTTCAATCAGCCTTCCAAGATTCTGGTAACGAAATGTTTAGCTTAAGACCTGGTTGGTCATTAGGCTTTACTCATGCAGTGTTGACAACCGGTGATAAACCTAAAACAGTGGCTTCAGTTAGAGGGCATCCCCTAGAGGCAAGTGCTGCCGGTGAGTTGTGGAAAACCTACTGATCTCCTCGTCTCATCGCCTGTTTCATCTCTCCTAAGAGTAACAGTTTAATTATGCGTCTCGTATAAACCCTTTTCCACCCTCGCAAAGGCAACGAAATCCCACTACGACTGCCAAACCTCTGAGCAACGAATGACGAACAGTGTAACAAAATGCATGACAATTCACTCATGCATAGGAATCTTTGTTAGAGTCATTCCCCTGGGGAGGAAATCATGAGTCTCAAAAAAAAGAAAAAGACCCGATTGTTGCAAAATAGAAACTAATTTATTAGCGGTATTGAGACGAAAGCTCACAAAAATTGACCACTAAGCATATCAAAGAGTAAACTTGAAAAATTGTCCTAGCCCTTTGGTTCATAGTTACTCACTAAGTTCTCTGCATCGTTAAGTTTGCGTTAAGTAACAAATATCTCCCGCTGCACAAGTACCTCTGAGGATGACCGACACACAATTTCATTATTCATGCGAACGTACTGCTGTTCTTGATTCAAATTTCCTTTTTTGTCCTTGCTATTTTAGGTAGAATAATATCTTATAAAATCTTAGGAGATTTGCACATGTGCCAAATAAGTCTAGCCTTTCCAGCTTTGCAGATATCACTTCGTTGTCTTTGTAAGGTAAGAAGTACATGACATGTCAAAATGATGTACGAACAAAAAGTTCGTGACGCAGGTGAGAGTGTAATTGATCACTGATTCTTTCAACACGTCAAGTTGACTTGATATCCGATCTGTTACCAAACGGTCCCACGGCATTGGGTTTATTTGTTTGTTAACTGGACAAATGTAAAATAATTCATGAAAAAAACTGTGTACATATTTTCAATGTCGGTTACACTTTCTAGATCCTTAAATCCCTCAAATGTTTGTCGTTTTTTTCTGAAATAGTATGTAACGAATTTATCGCACGTGAAGTTAAGTGATACCTCAGAGAAACAGAATTTTATTACCATCAACTTGGATAGCTTGAATATATAAATTAAGGTCATTTTGTTATCAAACCAACTGTTAGGATGAGGCCACAGAGTTCTAAGAGGCATTTTAAACTGGCTGATCTTTTCGACCTCGTTGATGATTTTTTCTTTTTCATTAAATTTACAATGCACTGTCAAGCTGATATGCCTTGTTGTCAGATCCAAGTACTTTGTCGTACATTGGAGACGTATAGCTCTGTAAAACAAAGATACCACGATCAGTGAGGCGAGGAAAAAATTAATGGAAATGTCTTAGAGACCATCCATTTTTTATTGTCGGGAAGGGGGGAAGGAATGTGGTTACGTAACAATAAAATCTACCTAATCCCCTTTCCTAAGGCTCTGTAGCATTCTAATGACCCTCCCCACCCCCCTCTCATTGGCAGTCAATTTTCTATGTTCTCCCATTTAAACTCTGTTAGCAACAGATGACACCCTTCGTTACCCCTACAAAACAATGTAAGCTCCAAAAGACACTGGTCGACAAACCTGCGACTGAGCCCTCAAGCCATTATGCCCGTTTTCCATTAGTTGCCAGTCTCCATCAAGGGCATACAATTCCTCCTTTTCACCCTGTTTAGCGTTTCTGTATTTCACCTGTTCAAATAGAGAAGAGTCAATGAAAAGAACGCTCAAGCAACTCTTAAGCAGCAAACTACACCGCCTGTGTGCCTTGCTGGATTTGTTGGTATGACCCTTCTTGACAATTTTCAGTCGTTGACATGATAGAAATATGTCGGAGCCACGCCGTACGCCATCATTTTCCTACAACCAACCCATTGTGATAATAAAAATTTTCGCGCCCAAGAAACGAATTGAAAGTTCACATTTTTTCCCACCACTTTTCTCTCAAATGCCTTTCGCCGCTCCCTTACCTCACCAGTATAAATGACGCTACAGTAAAGCTCTCAATCATTTGATTTCGATTGAGTTTACAAATTGTCACCAAGAACT